TATTCTACAATAAGCTGCCGTGGTTTGTGTCTGAACTACCTGAAAAAGATATCACAAATGTGGTGGTCCAGTGTAGGTAGTATTCTACAATAAGCTGCCGTGGTTTGTGTCTGAACTACCTGAAAAAGATATCACAAATGTGCTGAACTACCTGAAAAAGATTTAACACTGAACCACCACATTTACGATTAATAAAATATAAGTTTTCAATTAACAGTTTCACACGATATAACGTGCTAGTTACCTGTGCTTCAGAGATTTGAACAGCGTTAGCAAATACAGTCCATGTGACAACTTCTTCACATCCAGGGGTGGTCAATGATCCATTGTAGCGATAGAATGATTTGTCATTGGGGAGTAAATCTATTAATGAGGAGACAGTAATTTTTGTCTTGTCTAAATGAAAAGAAATGTCATGATCATAATTGCTGGTTTGCGATCAATATTTTGAGATTTATAAGACAATAGCTGCTAATAATATTCTTTTGTTAGCGTTTCTCCAACATGGCCCCCATGACGACGTCAAGTTTGTTTGTTTGTTTGTTTGTTTGTTTGTTTGTTGTTCCACATACCGTTTGGCTTGTTGACTTCTTGTGCCGCGCGATTTAGAAAATTGAATTTGTTATTGTGTCCTCCTTGCTGTGAAGAAAATTTATTTAATCAAAATAATTACAAAGTAAATTGTACAGTAGAAATGATCGGAATTTAATGTTTAAGCATCGAACTTGAGACAAAGCTTATACAACCTTGGACACAAACTGGTTGAGTTTTTTTTATAGTGACGTATATTATGTTAATTAGATTGACTGAATAGAAACCTACCCTGAGAAGCACACTAAGAACTGCCAGACCATCAGCATTTTTCTTGCCTTCAGCATCGTTGGAATATTTCGTATTGAGGTGAACCAAATGTAACTGGAAATAAAAATAATATCAGATTGTTCTCCATAAAAGTCTAGTATAAATTATAAAATAGTATTAAATTCAGCTTAATAGATGATGCACCTATACCCACCTCAGCTGGGCAAGGCATGTTGTCCACGCGATGTTCAGATCCCT